TAGCTCTGCATCAAGGTGAGGGTATGAGGAGCAATTCAAGAGCTGTGGACCTGTGCTGTCTTCCATGGCAGAAGCCCACGTGGAAGCAAATGAGTGCAGCCTTGTGAGCATTCATCTTACTTCTCCAGGTGTGTGTTGGCATCTGTCACCCTCGAGGCAAGAACTCAGGCTGAGAGAAATGACGGACTGCAGTATAGATAGTAAGTGGCAGGAGGCTCTCGAATTCAAAGTTTTTGTGAACTGACCAGGGTTTCTGAGCACTCTAATACTTTCATGGCTTTGCAAACTCGCTGTCCAGCAGAAGAGTGGGCCCAGGGAGATGAGGGATGGAACACTGTCGCCAGATCTGGTGTTTCAGAAACCAGGCACTGTGGTGCACACCTACAAGGTGACAACCCTCTGACAATCCCAGCAACTTGGGAGGTTGTGACAGGAGGATTGCAAGTTCAAGGCCAGCCTGAGCAACTTGGCAAGGTCCTAAGCCACTTAGTGAGATCCTGTCTCAAAAAATAAAAAGGGCTGGGGATGTGGCTCAGTGGTAAGTGTCCATGGTGGTACATTGTTAAAAACCTCAGTACCAAAAGAAAAAGAAGGAGCTTGAGATCCAGAATACTGTAGTCTGATGTTTAAAGTTCATTGCCTATTAAAATTTTTCATGGGCTGGGGTGTGGCTCAGTGGTAGAGTACTTGCCTAGCACGTTTGAGGCCCTGGGTTCAATCCTTAGCACCACATAAGGATAAATAAATAAAGGTATTGTGTCCATCTACAACTTAAAAAAAAATTAAGAAACAGCTTTTCATGATCCTATTATTTCAGCATAATCTATATGATGTGAGACGTCGATGTTTTTTTGTGCTATGGATTCTGGCCCTCAGACTAACTTGCTTCATGGGAGAACTAGCTGGGATGTGAACAGACGCCCTATAAAAGAGGGCCAGGCTCACATCCCTGAATGGTGGTATCAATAGTCATTGCTGCCACTTGTCCCAGGTGCCTCTGCTCTCCCCAGCCCTTGGGTCACCCAACTGGCTCATTGGTGTGGTGTGTGCAGTGCCCCATGACGACTGTCCTTCCTCTCACCTGACCATGGCACTCTTGACCTGTCAAAGACACTAGGGACTCTCATGACTGAATGGCAGGCAAGTATCCCAGGTAGAAACCTACCCATGGGAGTGGATCAAGCCACCGGCAGCAGGACCATTCCCAGTGGAGTCAGCCTTTCCATATGTGACATGGTGCAGAACCTCATTCATTAAGAACATTTTTCTGTTTATACACAGCAGAGTTCACAGGAGAGAGGACCCTGTCCAGGACTGGGTATCTGTGAAGCTGTTCCAAGGGCAACCACCCTCTTCCAGCATGGGAGCACCTGAGCAATGAGAATCCCCTAGAATGGCACGTTGGGAGTCCTTGTCTCTTACATTGCCAGAGCACCCACGTACAGGGGAGCACAGACAAAAAGCTGAGAAGGGAAGACCTTCCTCCACAGCTCCAGTTGGTGATACCAGGTGGCCATGCCAGACAGAAACCTTCCCAGAGCAGCGGCTTTGGCCACCTGAGGACACACCAAAGAGACTTTGAATTCTTGGTGTGCAGAAAGGCCCTGGGGAGGAAACCAACCCTAATCAATGACCAAAAAAAAAAAAAATTACACTTGGGAAACATCCTCTGTGTATAAGGAATGGAGGAAGCTTTCAGTCACCTCTCCATGTTAAGAAGATTGTAGAAAGTTCCCATCAAAAAGAGGCCCTACCAGTTTGGTAAAAAATGGGAAGACCCTTTTATCACTAGAGGATGCAACAGAAAGTGTATGGGAGCAAACATAAGCCAGACCCTGCCCACAGCGCCTGGCATTCTAGGCCACATATCATTACCGTTTGCTGTTGCAGAAGTCATCTATGTCGGCACCCATTCATCTATTCACTAACCTGGTGGCTCAAAACCACATGTCCTAACTCATAGTCTCTGTGGCTCAGAAACCTGGGTGCCCTTGTCGGAGTCCTCTTTCTTAGAGCCTCTTGGTGGGTTGACATCCAGATGTCGACTGGGGAAGGTCTGCTTCCAAGCTTCCACATGGTGTTAGCAGCATGTAGCTCTTTGTGGACTGTTGAATGCTGAGAGGGAACAGGTTTTTGGGTGACACTAACTTTGAGTCCCACTGACAGAAGAGTGGCTAGGAAGAGCTCTTAGTCCAGGGAAAGATTGGGGCTCGGTGGACTGCCTCATGTGGTCTGGATAGCCAGGGTCCCCGTGGGCCCACAGCTAGCCCTGAAGAATGGGGTAGTTTCTTTAAGAACCTCCACAGCAAGAGTGAACCCTTGCCCAGTAGATGTCCCACTTGACTAGCTGTGTCTCCAGGGACCTGCCCAGGACTCATGACTCATGGAATCTGGAACCCAGCCGGCAGGTGTCATTGACTCAGACCTACTGAGGTCATCGATAACTGATTGCCATAGAAACACGGGGTGTGAAGACTGGTGAACTAGGGGAACATGGCCATCCATTCTGAAGGCACATGAAGACATGTTCCAATAATGGCCAAGTGGGATAAGGGCGTGTAGAACTCAGGACCTACAGAGCTGGGGGTCACCCAGAACTGAAATCCAACTCACTGTTTTTTGGTTTCCTAAGTGGTTCACCTCACAGCTATTGCTGTACTCGTAGCAAACCCAAGACAGCAGGCAGAGCTTTTAGTCTGGAGAGTGGCTCATGTGAGTAGTGAGGTTTCTAGACTTAATTGCAAGGCATGACTTTAAGCATCACACATGTAGTTGTCACCCAGCAGGTCTGTTACCTTTTCTTTTATATATATATTTCACTTGTCGATAGACCTTTATTTTATTTATATGTGGTGCTGCGAATCAAACCCACTGCCTCACACATGCCAGGCAAGTGAGCTACCACTGAGCCACAGCTCCAGCCCCTGGTCTATGACTTTTTTATGTTTGTGTGTGTACTGGGGATTGAACTCAGGGGCCTTCAACCACTGATCCACACCCCCAGCTCTACTTTGTATTTTATTTAGAGACAGGTGAGTTGTTTAGCACCTCGATTTTGCTGAGGCTGGCTTTGAATTCACGAGCCTCCTGCCTGAGCTTTCCCAGAGGCTGGGATTACAGGTGTGAGCCGCTGCGCTTGGCTAGGTCTCTTACTTTTTAAGGAGTTGAGAGAAAGCACAGTGGAGTTAACATGGTTCTCCCTGATCTCCTGGTTTTGGAAGAGTCAAATATTTGAATTTTTATGTGACTTTTGTTTTATAAATGTGGGAAAATATTCCTGGAAAATTCCAATACAAATTTAATTCAACAAAATCTTTAAATTGGCTATACAGATGCATCTCGACCTAGGATGGGACTGTGTCCTGATAAACCCATTGAAAACATCGTATTTCCCATGTGCTTTTCCCCTGTGGGGCCAGCTGTCTCCAGTACACAGCAATAATGCACACAGTGTGAGATCAGTGAGAAGACTCAGGCTTGAGCTCAGAGACAGCATCTAGTACTTTCTTTCCATATGGTGCTCTTCTCTCTCCCTCTGAAGGGTTCAGCTGATGGTGGGGCTATGATATGGGCCCTGCACAGATCTTGCAGAATAACTAAACCTAGACAAATGTCCCTGAGGCCCACCTGTGTACCCGGCCCTTGCCTTTGACTGGAGTATACCTATTCATCTCAAGCTGATGTGCAATAGAGAGAATTAACACAGAGACCAGAGAACAGGAGAATTACAGAAGCTAGGATTCTGAAGAACATTAAAGGGAGATGGCAGAAAGCAATGAACACTGCTTCACATTGGTAGCTGGGAAGGCCTTTCCAAAGAGGGGAATTAGGAAATGACCTGAGCATTTGAGAGCAATGAGGTCAGGAGAAAAAGGCAGGGCTTCAGGTCAAGAACTGGGTCATAGTGGCCCTGCAAGCTGGGGTGAGGTGTTTGGTTTATTCTAAGCCCAATGGGAAGAGCTCATTGCACCACAGATTCAGGCTGGGAGAGCTAACACTGGGGACAGGCTGATGTCGCTGGGCAGGTGATGTGCTGTTGGTAGCTTCCTGGGATGGAGAAGGTCAATTCAGAATAGTAAGGTGTGAAGGACACATGGTTAGCCTCCATGCTAGGAGAGTGTGTTTCATCAGTGGGTGTGGAGTCCAAGTTGGACTCTTAAGAGGCTCTACTACGGGACATCCATGGCAGGAGGGTGTGACTCATGTGGTGACCACTGCAGGGAGGACCACCAGAGGCAAGACTTCCAGGACATCTGCATTCACTGTAAGCCCTGCATGCCTATAATTCCAGTTACCTGGGGGCTGAGGGACTGTCTTGTGCTGCCTGGGTCTCTGTAACAGAAGACCTACATCTGGGTACTTGTTTTTTTTGGTTGTTGTTGTTGTTTGGACAGGACTGGGGATCTGGGGATGGAACCCGGGGCTTAGGCATGCTAGGCAAGCACTCTGCCTCTGAGCTGCATTCTCAGCCCTTTTTGAGACAGGATCCCACTAAATTGCCCAGGTTGGCCTCGAACCTGTGTTCCTCCTGCCTCAGCCTTCTAAATGCTGTGCTCAGTACTTTATAAGAAGAGGTTAAGGGCTGGGGTTGTGGTTCAGAGGTCGAGTGCTCGCCCAGCATGCGTGAGGCACTGGATTCGATCCTTGGCACCACATAAAGTAAAATAAAGACATTGCTTTATTTAAAAAGAAGGAGAAGGAGAAGGAGAGAGGTTAATTTAGCTCCCAGTTTTGGGGGTGAAAGTCCAACCAGGCAGCCCTATCTGGCCCCTGGTGAGTGCCTCATGATGGATGGCAGAAGAAATCACATGGTAAGGCAGGAAGCCAGGGACCAGATGGGCCAGTCTCACTTTTTACAAGAACTCACTCTCTGCTCTGGTGCACAGCAGGCCTACATGCAGTTTGCTGTGTGGGGATGGTATGTGTAGCACGTGGTCCTGGGTGCTCCTGCTCTCCCAGACATACCTTCCTGTGAAGGACAGCTACCGACAACACACAAGTTTAGCTGAAGTGACATTTTATTTATCTTTTGGGGAAACAGTTTCCAATTTTTTTTAAATCACAAGACCCCACAATTTAGAAGATCTGACCCATATATTGATCCTACCATCTCTCTTCTTGGAGCTCTGGAGGGAAAGCCCGGCCACCATGGCTGAAAAACTGTGCAACGATGAAGGCCACAGTATCTGGAGACACGGGAGCACTAGCTGCAGCCCAGGAGCCACATCCCAAGATGACTGGATCTTCCTTCTCTCAGTCCCAGGACATCAGCTCAAGGAGGCTAAGAATCAAAAACCTGGAGATCACGTACTGCCAGCGTTCCTGGCCACAGAGAACAGCCTGCAATTCCTGATGAGTCTGGAATCCTCCCAGGAAACACAGTTGCTGGAATACTGTGTACGTCTCCCTACGAGTGCCTCAGGCCCTCCACTTTCCTAGACCCCGTTTATATTACTTCACTCAGTATTTCTGCACTCACCCACCTTACCCAACTGGTTTCATCTGGAACTTACCTACATATCCTAGATTTTAGAGATCTGAATTCTGAGCTGATTCTGCAAAGGCTTCCGAACACAGCTGGAAGATATGGACAAATCCCTGGGAACAAGAGACCTTTTGCTGTCCTTAGACACACCGAGGCCCTCATACCCACCACTGCCTTCTTCAGGCTGAGCTCTGGACCCACAAATAAGCCAGACAGACTACAAGTCTTTCCCTAAAGGACTCAGGAACCAGTGCAAATGAGGCCAACCTCAACTACAGCTATTCTCTTGGTGCCATGAGGGCAAGACAAAAAGTAGGGAGCCCCACAAAAGCGACTTCCTTCATTCATAGCACCCTCTTTCCATACAAGGGATCAGAACCCCCAGTATGAAAGGTGTCAAACTCACTGCCCCATATTCCAGAGCAGCAGGAAGTAGCCTGTACCATGGTCTGGCAAGCACCACACTGATAGTTTTTTTTTTTTTTTTTTAATATTTATTTTTTAGTTTTCGGTGGACACAACATCTTTGTTTGTATGTGGTGCTGAGGATCGAACCCGGGCCGCACGCATGCTAGGTGAGCACGCTACCGCTTGAGCCACATCCCCAGCCCCCCACACTGATAGTTTTAATGGTTTCTGTGAGAATGGGAAATACCCCTGAGGAGGCCCAGCAGAGTCCAGCTCAGCTTCTCCTGGTCAGAGCTGGGTCATGGACTTGCCTAACCTGGCAAGAGGAGGAAAAGTGGCTATGGGCTCTGCCATTGGTAATTCTCTTCTATCAAGGGAGGGGTCCTGAGCTCCGCTTTCCTGCGCAAACTAGGTGACACATGCACACTGTGGGGACCTGCCAGGTGGTGAAGGGGAGATGACTTCAGTCACAGAAACTGGCAATGATAACCATGTCAACAGCCCCAGGCAGGTCAGAGTGCAACGTAGCTCCCAAGAGTTCCACACACCTGGTACACATGGCCATCTCCCCAGGGAACTGGTGGGACATTCAAGGCTTGGCTTCCTTCAGTTAGCATCCTCATAAAGGTCCTCATTTTCATTTTCATTTTTTTTAGTACCAGGGATGGAATTTGGGGCACTTGACCACGAAGCTGTATCTCCAGTCCTACTTTGTATTTTATTTAGAAACAGGGTCTCCCTGAGTTGCTTAGTACCTCGTCATGCCGAGGCTGGCTTTGAACTCATCATCCTTCTGTCTCAGCTTCCTGAGCCGCTGGGATTACAGGCATGTGCCACTGCACCCGGCCCTTTTATATTTTTTTATTTGGAGACAGGGTCTCACTAAGTTGCTGAGGCTGACCTCAAATTTGCAATCCTCTGAGTTCACAGCCTCAGCAAAAAGTGAGGAACTAAGAAACTCAGTGAGACCCTGTCTCTAAATAAAGTACAAAATAGGGCTGGGGACGTGGCTCAGTGGCTGAGTGCCCCCGAGTTCAATCCCTGGCACTCCCCTCTCCAAAAAAAAAAAAAAAAAAATGTTGCGATCTTCCTGCCTCCTCTTCTCTGGTTGCTGGGATTACGGGTGTGCACCACCACCACCAGCACAAAGGCCATCTTGCTCTCCTTTCTGGAATGAGTCTTCTTGTGCTGAGCAAGGTGCCAGTCACTGAAGGCTTTCCCACATGCCCTGATCTCCTAAGGCCTTTCTCCAACATGAATTTTCTTATGCTGAAGGAGGGTAGAACTGTGTTTGAAAGCTTTCCCACATTCTGGGCATTCATGAGACCTGTCTTCAGTGTGGAATTGCTGGTGTCGGTTGCGGTAGGACCTGGTGGTAAAGGTTTTCCCACACAGGCTGCACTCATAGGGCCGCTCTCCAGTGTGAACTTTCCAGTGCTGATACAGGCCAGAACGGGTCACATAAGTCTTCCCACATTGCTCACATTCAAAAGGCCTTTCTCCAGTGTGAACTCTCTGGTGAAGAATGAAGCTACTGTTATATTTGAAGAACTTCCCACATTCCCTGCACTCATAGGGCCTTTCTCCATTGTGAACTTTCCGGTGTCGAATGAGGGTGGACAGAACGCTGAAGGCCTTCCCACATTTGCTGCACTCATAAGGCCTTTCTCCAGTGTGAATCCTCTGGTGCAGAGCAAGTGCATCTTTGCGGTTGAAGGTTTTACCACATTCACTGCATTTAAAAGGTTTTATGCCTGTGTGAACCTTCTGGTGCTTCCTCAGTTTAGAAGGGTAACTGAAGGCCTTCCCACACTCATCACACACATGGGATGTTTCTCCAGTGTGAATTCTTCCGTGATTAATATGAGTTGATTTCTCCTCAAAGGCAGTTCTGCCTGTTTGGTACCTGAAAGGTTTCTCTTCAGAATGAGTTATCAAGTGGTCGAGGAGAGCAAAGGCCTTCAGGAAGCTTCTCCCACAGCTGCTGCACTTGAAGGGTTTCTGAGCAGCATCGACTCTCTGCTGCTGTCCACAGCTGGAGCTGGATGGGAAGACTGCTCTGTGCCTAGTGCTCCTGCACAGCTTCCCAGGGGTGCCCTGGTGCTGGAGGAAGCCTGTGGTGACTGGGCCATCCTTCACAAACCTCTCAGACACAAAAGGCTTCTCTGACAGGTCGACTCTGCAACTCTTCACTTGCTTGGGAGGCGCATCCTCATCCTTCATTCTACACAGACAACCTGAAGTCAAGAAAAAGCCCGTTGCTGGAGCTGGGCTGGAAGGGAGGTACCTTCATCACCAGTGCACATCACACCTTCCCAGAAGGGACTCCGAAGAACTGCTATGAGTTGCTGGGAAAGGTCTAGAGGAAGAAAGGCTGGACAAGCAGAACTGGGCTCTACTGACCACAGAATCAGGAAGACCTGGATGGAGATGAGGACACAAAATGGGGTGCAACGCAGGGAAGAAACCTGTGGTCACCAAGACACTTGTATCCAAAGGTTGTCAGCAGGGCCTTGGATGCTGGTGACAGTGAGCACTGTGAAGAGGCAGGTGTTTGTGCCAGCAAAACTGACTACGAAACAGCAGCTGGTCTTCAAAAAACATTTAAGGATAGATACATATCTCACAGGCCACTAGGTGAGGTTATCTAAAGCCTGAGAGTCATGGTACGGAAGGCAAAACTGCACAGTGTCCCAAGGGAAAAGGAAGGAGGGAAGAAGGTACAGTCACTGACCTCAACACAAAATGCCAGTGTACACAGGTATCCAGCAGGCCATGAGGCTGTCAATGAAACCAAGGCATCCCCCTGCTCCACCAAGGAATAAATTAACAAAAGAAGTGAAGTTTTGTACACTGAAAACTTAAGATGTTGAAAAAAACTAAAGAACTATATAAACGAGAAGACACCCCACATTCTCTGATCTAGAAGACTTACGATGGCAGTATGCCCCAGAATGATTCAAGTTCATGCTCCGGCCTGGTCCAGGGAGGGCCCTATAAAATTTCTTGTGGAAAAAGAAAGCACACCTGGAGCCAGGAGGGACATGTCCTCAGCAGTAAAAGGGCCAGAGAGTCAGAGGTGTGGGGGATTCGGGGGTCAAACAGTGAAACAGTTGCCCCCCCAAATCCTGCGCCACGAGGCTCTGGAGCCACAGGTGTTTACAGGCTGCCAAGATGGTGCTCAGAAAGAGGCAGAGAAAGGGCACAAGCAGGCCTAGCTCTCTCAAAACCTAGAGCAGGGACCCTGGGGAGGAGCAGCCCTGTGGTCCAGCTTTAGCGTGGACAGAAGTCCAGGGGGAAAGGGCCGAGGTGTCAGTGTGCTGGGGGTGAAGGGGAGACTTACCCAGTGAGCTAACGAGCGCAAAGTTCTCCAGCATCACATCACGGTACAGGCCCCTCTGGGTGGCAGTAAGGAGACCCCACTCCTCCCAGGAGAAATGCACGGCCACATCCTCAAACATCACCGGGCCCTGCAATGGCGGATTCAGCTGAGACCTGAGGTCGACCAGTGGTGGGGGAGAGATGTCTTTTGCACTTTGCACACATCCAGGTCCTCGCCGGTGTCTCAAATCACTCACGGGCATTATTTTTCCTGTGAGCTCAACCTTCCCCCAACACACAGACCCTCATACCTCTCCTCTTCCAGGACCCCCACCTCAGCAGGATCCGTCCGACCCACAGCGGCGACAGGCGGCGACCCGACAGGCGCCCGCCGCCACACGCACAGGCCCCGCCCCATCTCTCGCCGGCCGACGGCCCTCGGAGGCGCCACCTGCCCACGCAGGTCCCCGACCCGGGTCCAGGCGCGGACTCCACCGCCTGGCCTCCCCGCTGCCTCTGCCTGGCGGCCCCCCTCGTCCCGCACCGGGCGCTCCCCTCGGCCCGTCGTCCTCGCTCACAGACGCTGCCGGTCCCGGCGCTCACCTGCGCTGGGCCGGCCATGGGAACCGGTGCGCCAAGTGGAAACCTCCCGTTACCTGCCCTCCAGAGCCGCTCTCCCGCGCCCGAGCACTCGCGAGTCTTCCCGCCGGGGCCGGGCGGCCACTCCCGGCGCTCGGTCCCGCTCGCCGCGGCCGCACCCGGCCGGCCCCCCATGCCGGAAGTCCCGCCCCGCCGCGGCCGCACCCGGCCGGCCCCCCATGCCGGAAGTCCCGCCCCGCCGCGCGGCCCTGGCCTGGGCGCCGCCGTCTCCGCCGCAGCACCCCGCGCCCCGGGATCGGCGCCGGGGGTGGCCAAGGCGACAGAGGAGGGCGCGGACTACATTTCCCACAAGCCACCGCGCCGCGCGCCCGTCCGTCCGTCCGTCCGGGCCCCTCAGGGCGCTGGAGTGGGCCCGGCGGCTGCGCCCTGGACGGCGCTCCGGAGGCTCCCGAGCCTCGGAACCGGGAATCTCGGCCTTCGTGACTCGTGCGGTGAGCAGCCGGTCTTCAAAAACCATTGAAGGTCCCAGGTCCTGGAGGTCGCACTGCTGGGGTGTCGCCGGGTCGCCCCCTGGGCGTAGCGTCCGCTCTGAAAGTCTAGGCTTGGGGTCCCGGGCAGGAGAGGATCGGAGGAAGATCGGCCGTCGGTTCCCCGCAGCAAAAGCGACAGATGACCGCTGGTAGGCCAGTGAGGGGTGCCAGGGAGTCCCCCCTGCGCTTGTCCTCAGCACAATAGGCTCCGAGCCTACCCCATTTCCAGACATGGTGTCATTTCAGAATCGGGGTCTGTCGAAGGAGGGGTGGCACGTGGTTGAGTGTCTTTGGAGACAGGGTCTTGGATATATCAAAGTCAGGAGGCTGTCCCTAATTGAGACCTACTCATGGTCGTGGCCCTGTGTCTCCTGGAAGGAGCAAGGCTCAGAGGAGCATCTGCCTGGGGCTGATGCTGAAGAACTGTGCACTCATGACTTCAGTGCTCACCGTTTTCCTCTGCTTTTCCGGTGTTGCCCTTGGAAGTTGCCACTGGTGCTGGGATGAAGGCACTGCCACCTCCTATTCCTAGCAGCTACATGAGCATCCTCACACATTCTACCCTGGGGTCCTGGGTGGTCAAGATCGGGGGTACAAGTCTAAATCTTCACAGCAGATGATGTCCAGCTCAGTCACTTTGTACAAAACGTCAGGCCCTGCCTGTACTAACATGGTCAATTTTGGGTCTACTGTACTCTTCCTGGGCGGTCTCCTGGACGTTCAGTTTGTGAAGTTCAGTGTTGTGCTCAATGTACAGCTTATTCTTACCCTCTGGTGTTTGTCCCAGGGTGTATTGGCCTCTGCTGGGCAGTATTCTTAAAAATCTGTCATCCCCAAGGTCTGGCTGCTTCAACATTCCACTACCAAAATCAGCTGTGGCAGACAGGCCAAAAGGAGACCTGTCCCTGGTGACCATCCCTCAAGGTGGGTTGATCTCACATCTGCTTCCTGGTCCATGCCGTCTCAGATCTTGGTGAGTCCCTGACTCCTGATTTATTTTTCCATCCTCTTGATAGCTCTCTGAGTCTAGTCCCCTGGCTGTGCCCCTTCTCTCTTAGAGCTCAGCTGTGCAACATTCACCTTTCCTTAACTGTCCTGATCATCATAACATCCTCTGATAATCCTTGCAGCCCTATTCCTCAGTGACACCTTATTGTCTCCAGTGGAGGTGGGCACAGGTGAAACTGCCCCAGTTCATGGTCAGTAGCCACATACTGACATAGGTGGGTTGTCCCACCTGGAGTGGACTTTCACCAGCTTATTCATACCCCACAGGGTTGTCACCTTTAAGCTCCATGAGTTTACCCAACTGGAGTACAGTCAAAGGCACTGATTGATGATCTAGATAGAATTGAAACCAGGGATAGCACGAGAGGTTCAGCTGTGGAGATTGCAAGTGGTGGGGGGAGTCTCCCTGGGGTCTTCTTATACTGGTACCTGAGCTGTCCTTCTCGTGTCTGAATGCCAAGGTCACTAGCCTTGCCAACTTTCAATCTTCCTCCTGATCTGCTGGACAGTCTACCTTCATACCTGCTTACTGATTCCTGTAACTGTCCTCTGACTTGTTTTTGGTACTGGGTATTGAACCCAGGAGCACTTTACCACTGAGTCCTGTTTTTTTTTGATAGGGTCTTGCTAAGTTGCTGAGGCTGGCATTGAACTTGTGATCCTGCCAGAACCTTCTGAATCATGGGAGTTACAGGTGTTTGTTTCCCACTGCGTTCGGCTCTCATTCCCTCTTACTGCCCAGTTCTGAGATGCTGGCTACTCCTTAACATGCTATGGACTGATAACATTTTTTTAAATATTTATTTTTTTTAGTTTTAGGTGGACATAACGTCTTTATTTTTTATTTTTATGTGTGTTGAGGATCGAACCCAGTGTCCCGTGCATGCCAGGCAAGCGCGCTACCGCTTGAGCCACATCCCCAGCCCATTGATACCTTTTTAGTCACTGAAAACTGGTAGTTCTGTGAAGTGAGTCTGTCTGCCCCACCAAGGCACGGGTCACGTAGTCAGTGAGAGGCATCACAGAGTTGGTCCTGAGCCGTGTCAGACAGGTTCCCACTCTTAACCAGGTTCTCTCTTGAGCCTGCATTCACGGCTGTTTGTCCTGCGTCCTGGTTCCTCACTTTGGTTTCACTTTTCCCACTTCACATTTCAGGCTGAGTGCTTCCCTAGAGACCACAGAGTCTTACTAAAGAGGGGACAAGGTGACCCCTTCCTCTAAGGTGCTCCACTGGGCACTGGCTGCTGGTGACAGCCAAGCATTGTGAAGATGCTTGTGTCACGGGGTGGGTGATGCTCTCCTGTGATCCCAGCAACTCTGGAGCCTGAGACAGAGGATCGTAAGCTCTAGGCCAACCTGGGCAACTTAGTGAGATCCTGCCTCAAAATAAAAAGGACTGGGGCTGTAGTTTGGTGATAAACACCCCTGGATTCAATCCCCAGTACAAAAAAAAAATCTCAGTTGAACAGGGGGCTGATTTACATCAATTGTGACAGCCTTGCTAAGTCTTAAGTTCCTTGTGTGAAAATTAAAACAATTGGTAAAAATGGTACACTGAAACTCAATGGGAATATCTGGTTGGACCCAGATGAAATGAGTTCCCAAGGCACTCTGAGTCTCTCTTGCCAGCAGTAGTTTGCTCTTCAGGGTCTGAGAAAACTATCCCTGCTCTGTTTGAAAACCCGCGAGAAACTCACCTGGGGCACATGCCCATTCTCAGCAAGAGCCACATGACCTCTATCTAAGGCTGCTAGACCCATAACTAGGTTACATCTCAGCTTCTCGGGGAGAGAAAATGACTTCACATGGAGAAATTTCAAGACTGCCATTAATGCATCAGTGGGAAACTGGAAAATGTGTGAGATGGATTCTCAGGTCAAGGAGGGTGGAATTTAACAACAGGGCTGACATTGTTGCGATTTACTACAATTTCCAATTTGATGTTCTTGCTCAGTTGCGGAAGGCTGAAGAACTGGACTCACTGGTGGCCTGAAGTCAGTGAGACAGAGACGCCAGATCTTCCCTGGTGTGAAGTGGAGGGGAGGCCAGAGGCTTAGAAGGGCAGGCTTGCTGGACTGGATTCATCCTGTGAATTGTCTTGTGCTCCAGTCATTAGCTAAATACTAACATCTCTGCTGTAATCCCCAGAACCTGTGACTATGTTATTTTACATGGCAAAATTAATTTGCAGATGGGTTTAAGGTTGCTAATCAGCTGCCCTTAAAACGGGGATTGTATCCTGGATTATTCCTGTGGACCTTGGAAAGCAGAAGAGGAGCAGACTTGGTAGTATGTGCCTCTAGACCCAGCTGCTCAAGGATGTAGGCGACAGGATGGCTTCGCCCAGGAGTTCATACCTGGGCAACACTGTGAGACACCATCTCGAAAAAAGAACACAAGTGAAAAAGTGAGTGAGAGAGACAATAATTAAAGAAAAAAACAAAAACAAAACTGAGGAGCGATCGAAAGCATGAGAGGAAACCGAACAGCCATTACTGACTCAAGACGGAGGAAGGGGACCACAAGCCAGAGAATGCAGAGGCCTGTGGAAGGGGAGAACGGGGTGCACCGTGGGTGCCATGACGGACAGCCAAGGTCTATGGAATCGTCTCCTGCATGATGAGATAGTGCCGGAGATGACTGGACAGTTAGTCTGCAAGCAAAAGTCTCACTGATGTTACAATTCTGGACCCCAAGAAGGAGGACACAGCCAGAACCAATCGTCTCAATGTGGACTTTCAATGGGTAGAACCCTGCAGGTGTACAACACGAATCTCAGAGAAATGGAAAATTAGGAAACAATTTTTACAAAGAACAGAAGGCAGCATTGCTGGAGCACATGAAAAGATGCTTGGCACAAAAGCAGAATCTTCAAGCCAAACAAATACAAAAAAACTGCCCAGAGCATGATGCTTTGGCAAAAATGATCCAGCACCATCCAGACAGGCACAAGACACTAAAGGAACTGGAGGCTCTGAGGAAAGAATCAGCACACCTTTCACAGACTCAAGAAAGCACTGAAGATAAGCTGGAATTGAGACAGAAACAGCCTCACGTTCTTCTCATACCACCGACACCATTCAGCAAACCCTGGAAAATGACAAAAAGCTCTAAGGCAGAAGCTCAGGAAACAAACATGGACAGGCTGATCCCCATTCCCAAGGGTACTGACAGAGCTGGGTGATCTTAAGTGTGTCTAGAATATCCTAAGATATCTGAAGCTTGGTGGTGACATAATTTGCTCTTACATATTAATGATAATTAATATTAAAAATAAATGAGAACACATTTATTTTAATATAAAGGAAAATAGCTTCAGTGTATATTTGTTTTATTGAAATGAATTTTTCATTTTTAAAAGATAGGCAGCAACACCCACAATCATTTAATAAAGGTCTTCAAACTAGATGTTTTTGCTCATTATTATTCCAGATAGTTTGTTTTTTGGTACTGGGATCTGACCCAGGGGCACTCAACCACGGAGCCACATCCCAGCACTTTTTGTGTTTTATTTAGAGACAGGGTCTTGATGAGTTGCCTAGGGCCTCACTCAAGTTGCTGAAGCTGGCTTTGAACTTGCAATCCTCTTGCCTCAGCCTCCTGATCTGCTGGGATTACATGCGCCACTTGGGTAGTTTTTAACTGGTAACATTGATTCCTTATAAAATAAGTTGAAGATGTGAGAAGGTGGCATTTCTAGGATGTATGTAAGAAGATGAGTCAACTTCTAGAAATCACCACTTTGGAATATGAAGTCCATAAATAGGCTTCAGAGGGCCGCGAACCTGTGAAATTCTGTGCAAAACGTGTGTGGTGTGCGTTTGTTGTGGGAGAGATTCTTTGATGCTGAGAACCACTGACTGGTATGACCAAGAGCAGCAAAGCAGATCCATCCATGTTCACCACTTCCTCTGTCTCTCTTTAGTACTTGAGGAGTGTGGTTGTTAAATGTTTTCTTATGTGCTTTGTCTCAACTGTTTTAGTCTTTAGGACTATTTTAATCAAAAAATATTTGAGGTGAAAAAAAATGGTGAGAATGACCCTCGGGCTGGTGTCCAGCAAGGACATCAAGACCTTTGTTGACAACCACCGGAAGCTGAACTCTGAATCCCAATGAGCAAGATGTCTTTCAGAGCCTCAGAAGGGAGTGCAGCCCTGCTGACACCTCAGTTTAAGTCCAGTGAGCCCCGTGTCGGACTTCTGACCTCAGAAATAGAACTCTAAGGCACGACATCTGTTTTGTCTTAAGCTGTGAGATTTGTTGTGGCAGCAATAGGAAACACATCACCATTCCCAACCATGCTCTATAAGAGGAGGGAGGTCTCTTCCACTACTGTGATTGAGAAACGAAGAGAACTTCGGCCATGAAGATCTCTGCAGGCCAGTTATAACCAGAGATGCTGCCACTGGTGTGGGTTCTTAACTATCCAATACAGGTGGGCGTGTCTGCCAGTGGAAGGCCTGGACTGATTGATTACAGTTCTCAAAAATAAATGAGAACCACAATAATGGGAAGTTATTCTCCACGTATGTATAATATGTTAAAATACAATCTATTGTCATGCATAACTAAAAAGAACATATTTTAAAAAGTGAAAAAAAAAATAGTGGGGCTGGGGCTGTACCTCTGTAGCAGACTGCTTGCCTAGCACACACAAGGCACTGGGTTCAATCCTTAGTACCACATAAAAATAAAAATAAACAAAGGCATTCTGTCCCTCTACAACTCCAAAAAATTTTTTTAAATAGTGTATTATTATCCCATGTGCGTATATGACTACATGACTGGTGTCATTCTACATCATGTACAACCGGAAAAATGGTAAGTTATACTCCATCTATGTAAGATGTGTCAAAGTGCATTCTACTGCTATGTATAACTAACTAGAACAAACAAAAAAATGTTCATTTGGAAAGGTAAGGCCAAAGTCAGTGGTAAAATAAATAAATGAGCAGTATGTGGACTATTAAGATAAGCTCTAGTTCTAGTGCCAAAGACATGACGTCATTTGCCAGGAGAGAGTCACAGCCCCTCAGTTTACAGACAGGTCAGCTCACAGCCTTGCAGACACTTTGCCTGAAGACGAGACCAGGTTTTCCTGAGAAAGGACCTGGCATCACTGTCAAAAGCAGGCACCACTGGACTGGGTGCAGCTCAGGGCAGATTGCCTGCCCTCCTGTGCCAGGCCCGAGTTCCATCCCCAGCGCACACACACAATCTCAGTCTTCTTCCACGCCTTCCCAGAGGGACTTGCAGCTAGTTATTAGGGTGACTACACTGGGGAAAAGGATATGCCCAGCCCTTCTGGGGTTTCCTGAACACTGTGTGTAAATTGACAGTTCTTCAAACCCCAAACACCATGATTGTCCTTTAGTTAAAGTGGAGCCCCATAATGGTCCATTGATAGATGGTCTTAACTCAGGTACAACTCTCTGTGTGTGTGTGTGGGGGGGGGCACTGGGGATCTAACACAGATGAACTCTACCACTGTGCTACATCCTCAGCTCTTTTTATCTTGAAACAGGGCCTAAGTTGCTGAGGCTGGCCTCAAACTTGCAATCCTCCTGCCTCAGCCTCCTGAGTCACTGGATTACACTTGCATCACGGCACCCAGCTTCAAGTACCTCTCTGGATGAACTCCTTGGGTTCACTGGCCCACACTGGTTACTTCCCTAGCCACTGAGTACCTAATTGGTATAGGCATACCAATACCTGGCACAACCCACATCACCACGCTGACCCCCAAAGTGAGTCATTTTGCGAGAAGGCTAAATGGAAGCCTCTGTGTATCTAAGCCCTGCCTAGATAGCAAACTGGAAAGAGCAGCACATCCCTGGAAGAAATGCAGATTAGATCCACAGTCAGACTTTAAACAGCAGAGGTGGCTGTGCACACCCCATTGTGCAGCAGTTATCATTTCTAAGAAGTATTTTGTCATGAACCTTTATTTATTTATATATGGTGCTGAGAATTAAAGCCAGTGCCTCACACATTCTAATCAAGTGCTCTACCACTTAGCCACAATCCCAGCCCAGAAGTTAGCATATCTTGATGAATGTGAACCACAGTAATTGTGTGTGTGTGTGTGTGTGTGTGTGTGTGTGTGTGTGTGGTGGTGCTGGGGATTGAACCCAGGGCCTTATGCATGTGAGACAAGCACTCTACCACTCTACTGAGCTATACCCCCAGCCCAACCACAGTAAATTTAATCCAGTGGTGACACCAATTATCCCTGCTGTTCCAGAGGTAGTGCCCTTACTGCAACATGCAACAAGCCCCCAGTGCTGGGCATGCAGCCACTGAAAAGTGGGTGTCTTTTTCTTCACATAGTTTGAAAGGACCACCAGAAACCATTTGCTTTTGCCTGGCCAGACCAACGGTGCACCTTCACACTGGTGCCTCAGGACCTCTCAGTCTGCTCTCTGCCATCATACAGCCCACAGAGCTCTTGATCATCTGGACACTCCAAAGGTGCCACATCAATCACTTTGTTGATGACGTTATACTATGTGCATCTGATAAGAAGTAGCAAGTACTTTAGATACTTAATAAGACACAGGCAAACAGAGTAGGAGAGAAAACCTATCCAAATTCAGGGGCTGCTACCTCTGTGAAGCCCTGCTGAAGTCTGACTGTGGATCTAATCTGCATTTCTTCCAGGGATGTGCTGCTCTTTCCAGTTTGCTATCTAGGCAGGAAATGGATACACAGAGGCTTCCATTTAGCCTTCGCGCAAAGTGACTCACTTTGGGGGTCAGCGTGGTGATGTGGGTTGTGCCAGGTATTGGTATGCCTATACCAATTAGGTACTCAGTGGCTGGGGAAGTAACCAGGGTGGGCCAGTGAACCCAAGGAGTTCATCCAGAGAGGTACTGGAAGCTGGGTGCCGTGGTGTCTGATTCTATCTACCACAACAGACCAGAGGCAAAGCACTTGTAAGCCTGTCATGTTTGACTCTACTTCTTTGACTATCCACAGAGTGGTCAAGCTTCCTGTTTGGGATGGGAACCAGAAAGAAAGAAGGCTCTGAAACAGCTTCAGGCTGCAGGGCAGCCTACTCTACTACCCAGCTTGTGATTCAGCAGATTCAACATTTGAAATGTTTGCGGCAAATGAGAATACTGTATGGATTGCAGAAGCTCAGGCCGCTGAGGCAGGAGGATTGCAGGTTCAAAGCCAGCCTCAGCAAATTTAGCCCTACCTAACTGGGTGAGATCCTGTCTCTTTAAAAAAAAAAAAAAAAATAGAAAAAAAGGGCTGGGGATGTGATTCAGTGGTAAAGCACCTCTGGGTTCAATCCCCCGTACAAAAGTAAATAAATAAATATATAAACAAACAAACAAACCAGTATGGAGCCTCCAGCAAGTAGCAAAGCACAACAGGATTTAGGAGCAAGTCTGTACCTTCTCTACCTTGGAGAGACTTTCTAGCTTGCTACCGCACCTTTAGTAGCAAACGAATGCCTATGAGCCATCAGGCAACCACGTGGCCTTAATGCCATCATGAGCTGGGTATTGTCGGGCCCTTGTAGCCCTGAGTCAGCTGGGCACATGCAACAATCTGCTGTTTTGTGAAAATGGTCTGTTAGAGATCAAGCCTCAAGACTTGTGGAGGGCTCAGTGGCAGAGCATTTGTCCAGCATGGGCAGCTCCCTGGGTTCAAATCCTGTACTGAGAAGAACAAAAAAAGACTTGACTGAGGAAGAAGAGAGGGTACATTTATAGCAGAAAGGGGCCATATCACTAACCAAGCCAGGGACAGATCAATGGGATCCGCTGGGCACACTGAAAGCCCAGCCCCCAAACCTTACCCCATAAAACCTGAGGTGACAGCTGCTGAGGCTGCTTTCAGGGGCACTCAAGGGGAGCCAAGGACTGCGTGTGCACAGTCCCAGCACCCACAGCACCAGCCAAGGGAGCAGCGAGTGGTCCGGTGTCAGGCTGCACTGGCCTTCCCAAGTTCCCAGGGGTGAGACAATGTGCTGAGGAGGGCAGGAGGGACGGACTCAGTGAGCTTAAGAGCTCAAGGCTCTCCAGCATCACCCTGTGGCACAGGCCTCTGAGCACACTGTGAAGCCTCTCCTCCTCCTGGGAAAAATGCGTGGCCACATCCTCAAGTGTCACCAAACCCTGCAATGGATGGGTTCAGCCGATCCTGGGGGCAGAAGTATGGACAGATAGACCCTGCCAGGCCCTTGACTGGGAAGGGTCCTGCCACACTTCCACTGCATCAAACTTCCCCAGAGGCACGCAGCACAGTGCGCATATCCTGATTCCACCTTCCTTCAGACCTGTTTCAGTCACCTTTTCACTGCTGTGACCAGAAGACCTGACAAGAAGAAGTAGAGAAGGAAAAGTTATTTGGGGGGTTTTCCTTCATAGATGGCTACTCCATTGCTTTGGGCTTGAAGTGAGGAAGGACATCATGGCAGAGGGTGTGGCAGAGGAAAGCAGCTCAGGGTAGCCCGGAAGCAGAAAGCTCCATTCCACAAAGACACAATATAGGCCCCAAAGGCCGCTCCCAGTGACCCACCTCCTCTAGCCACACCCTACAGTTACCCCTCAAGTGGATTAATGCACCAATTAGGTCAAGGCTTTCATAACCCAATCACTTCACTTCTGAACCATCTTGTATTGTCTCACAGCTGAGCTTTGGGGGCCCCTCATATCTAAACCATAACAGCCTCTACCTCCGAGGGTCTGGTTGCTTCTTACTTTACTATTAGACACTGTGTCCAGTCTGCAGCAACAATAGGCAGGTGACCAGCCTCCCAGCAGCTGGGGAGGCTGAAGCAGGAGGATGGCAAGTTCAAAGCCAGCTTGCAGAACTTAGTGAGACCCTGTCTCAAAGTAAAATATAAAAAGGGGGGGCTGGGGTTGTAGCTCAGTGGTAGAGTGCTTGCCTAGCATGTGCAAGGCGCTGGGTTCAATCCTCAGCACCATATAAAAATAATTAAATATAAATAAAAGTATTGTGTCCAACTATATATATATATATATTTAAAAATAAAAATATATAAAATAAAAAGGGACGCAGTTGTAGTCAGAGGCTGGCCTAGCCTGCAGGAGGCTCTGTGTTCAGTCCCCAATAGGAAGGAAGGAAGAGGCAGGAAAAGAATAAAGGAGAAAAAAGGAAAGTCCGAGGCTCCAGGGACAGCAGACACACAAGCCCATGAAGGAGAGTCAACCCAGACCCAGGCCCTGCCGACACTCTTACCTACCTCATCGCCATGCCACGGGCTCCATCCCCAGTCACTCGCCCTTCAGGAGAGTTGGCTCCCACCCCTGCTCTGCATCCCTCTCCTGATACAGGCGCCCTCCACAGAAGGCACTGTGACACCAGCACCTTCCTGGTTTAAGAACTAGACAGCTGTTCTCACCGTCCAGACCCTTGGGGCACTTATTGCCCCCCCCTCCCCCCAATCCAACACCTAGGTGCGTTCTGGTCCACACAGCAGTTCTGACTACTCAGAAGTCTCCACCCAGGAGAGCTGAGAGCTTCTGCCCACGCAGAGCCGCCACTCAGCAGCCTCTGGGACATCTCGCAATACTGGGAACAAACCCAAGCCTGGACCTTCCTCCTGAAACACAGACTGGGCTCTCAGTGTCAGTGGTTACCCCACCCTTTCCAGAAACAGTGTCAGAGAGCACGTACCAAATGCAGGACACAACGCCCCACAATGTCTGGCCCTGCAGGGAGCAGGCTTGCAGCACCACGCGAACTACATTACCCAGAAATCCGGGTCCCATGACACCCTGATGCTCGACAATGCAGAAGGCCCAGTCTCAGACAAGCTAGTCCTTAGAGGCAAAATAGATGAATGGCTTACCCGGTTGAGGGCAGGCAGGAATGGGATTTGACTGCTAAGGAGTATTAAGTTTCTTTTTAAAAAAAATGTTGTTTGATACTTTAAACCACAGCTCTGCTGTCCATGAATTGCATGGATGGGCAAATAAAAAAAAAAAAATGCTTCAATAAAGCTATATTTAAAAAATAAAAAAGTAGGTGCCCAGAGCGATGGTGCATGCCTTTAGTAATCCCACCCTCCCAGGAGGCTTAGGCAGGAGGATCCCAAATTTCAGGACAGCTTGGGCAATTCAGCAAGAACCTGTCTCAAAATAAATTTTCAAAATGGTTTGGGGTGTAGTTCAGTGGTAGCCCATGGGTTGAACCAGAGTGATTAAAAAATATGGCAGGGGCTGGGGTTGTGGTTCAGTGGTAATGCACTTGCCTGACATGTGTGAGTTCGATTCTCGGCACCACATATAAATGAATAAAATAAATCAACTGTAATGCCAGATTCGTGGGACCCCAATAGACCTCCAGGAGCCGAATCCAATGCAATCACACAAGAGTCTTTATTGCAAGCTCAAGCCTGGACTCACAACAACGGTTCCCAACACAGTGATCCCAGTCCTTTGTCCAGGGAGATTTTATAGGTTTTGTGGGGATACTCTATGCGTCACAACATCACACAGCAAATCATTCCATACCATGGGAAAATCAAACAACAACTCTTAACATTGATTAGCACATTCACTGGCGGGAACAAGATGGGTAAAGGTGATTGGCTAGTACAAGAGGGGGGTTCCTTTGAACTGATTGGTTTAAGCCTCGAGGGGTGTACTTGCTAAATGACATGGTTTCCCAACATGTTACCAATCACTGTAAACTACTGGGGGGTCACCTGGCATCCCAGGTATTTTCCCTGTCTCATGCTGATTGGTGGTTGCTAGGGGGTTGCTATGGGTCCTCACCTAGCCTGACCCAGTCAGGGACACCTGGCGCCACAGATCTTATTATTTACAGACAAACAACTCAGCAGGGAGCCTAGAAAGGCTCTGTGGGTTTTTCCAAAGACAAGGGTCACGCCCCCTTCCTTAGGACAGGCCTTGAGGTAGAAGCTGCTGTTATTTATTTATTTTCTTTTACAAATTTTTTTAGACTTTATTATTTATTTATTTATTATTTGTATATGGTGCTGAGGATGGAACCCAGGGCCTTGCGCTCTACTGCTGAACCACAACCCCAGCCCCTGTTTATTTATTTTCAAAAATGGAGTCACATCAGTTTCTTACAACAACTAGAAAATACCTATTAAAAATTTTTAAAAAATAAAAAATATGGCAAAGGGGCCTGGGAATGTGGCTCAGTGGTAAAGTGCTTGCCTGGCATGCATTAGGCCCTGGGTTCAAATCCCCAAGCACCAAATAAATAAATAAATAAATGACAAAGAACCAGAGAGATTCATTGTTAGAATCTGAGCAGCCAGACAGGATGCTCAGATGCCTGAAGCAGGAGGATCCCAGGTTCGAAGCCCAGCCACAGCAACTTATAGCAAAGCTCTAAGCAACTTAGACTGTCTCAATATAAAAAAGGACTGGGTAGTGGCTCAGTGGTTAAGCACCCCTGGGTTCAATCCCTGCTACCAAAAAAAAAAAAAAAAAAAAAGGAAGTATTCATCCCCAGGGAGCAGGGGATGCAGGTGACTGTCACTCCCTAGGATGGGGAAGCCAAACCCTGCTCCTTCCCATTGACGCCAGAATTAGACAGGCAGTCTGTGTAGATAGGTAAATAGAGTCAGGTCCAGGTCCGGTCAAGGAGGCCAATTTTGAGTGAGTCTGGGAAGTTGGAGACTGTCCCCTGAGGGATCTTATGAAGAACCTGCCCCTGCTCCAATCTGTTGCCAAGGGAACCCATCCCAGGAATGTCCCCTCCCTACTCCCACCTGTTCCCACCGGTTGGCCCTCCCACGGAGCATTCCTGGGCCTAGTCACCTCTGCAGGAAGGAGAAAGACAAGGGGGGAAGGAGGAGGACAGAGGAACCCTAGGACGTAGAACTAGGGCAGAACACCTTGCCTCTGGGGACGGACACCAGCTAGGCCCCCTCCTCCCTCGCAGAAGTCTGTTACCCCTTTTAAAGAAGCCCTGCTTCCCGGCTTGCCTCGGCGGCTTCTCCAGGTTCAGCCCTCAACGTGTGGGGAAGCAGGGCTCTCCCTTTGTCGCAGTCCTCTCTTCTCTGTGACCTCAT